TCGTCTCTCTTCATTTGCCCTACAGCGACGCCCAGGGGTTTTTTCGGGGAACTGCACCCACGACTTCTAACTGCAAAGAACCTTTCTTCTTCTTCTTCTTCTTTTTTTTTTTTTTTTTGTATTATAAAAAGTATTTACTTGTTTTAAAACATCCAAATGCAAAAGGTGCATACAGCATAGGTTCTCCTCATCCCTGCTTTCAAACGAGTGGCATGTTTCTTGTGTAATCCTTCCAGAGCTATGTTTTGTGTACTGCAGATGATAAAAAATGCTCTCCCTCCCTTCTTTGCAGAAATGTAGGCACACATTATAGCATACTCTGCACTTGCTTTTAAAAAATTTGTCATATCTCTAAGAACATTTTGTGTCAGTTCTTAATGAGATTTCCCATTTATTTCTTACAGCCATGTAGTAGTCTACCATATGGATATATGAGTATAATAATTAACCTAATTAGAACACAATTTCTAAAGGAAATAAAGAGTACATTAAGCCAAAATATATTTTACATTTGATATTAGTTTATAAATTAATTACCTTCTGCTCTCATAGGCCTTTAAGACATGCACTACTCTAGTTCTGGAATTTATTCCTGATGCCAGTTTCTGAATATGTTTGACACAACTGCAAGGCCAATTGAGTCCATACAAATTAGTTTTAGGGCTTCAGTATTTTAAATATTTCTCCTTAGATATGAGTTGTCTCTCAATTCATTTTTATTTCTTTTTCCTCTCCCCAAGCCAGTTAAATGTATCCCATTCCACTTTATTATATTGTTCCACAACTTCCCATGAATATGAAACCATGTAGACATGAAAACTCTTTTTAAAAACTTATTTGAGAAAGAGAGAGAGAGAGAAAGGAAGAGAACATTTCAATCTGCTGATTTACTCCCCAAATGCTCACAAAGGCCAGGGCTGGGCCTGGTCAAAGCTAGGAGCCAAGAACTTAACCTAGGTCTCCTGCATGAATGGCAGGAAACGCATACTTGGGCCATCACTACTGCCTCCTTGGGTCTGCATTAGAAGGAAGCTGGCCCCAGGAGGTGAACCCAGGCACCCTGCAGGATGCAGGTGTCCTAACTGCCAAGCTAAGTGCCAGCTCCTAAAATGCTCCTTCTTATGCTTCTATTGAGTCATATTCCACAACCATCACAAAACCTGCCAGTCATCAAAAAAAAAGCCAATGTGGGTAGCTGTAGACATCCACAAATTCAGAAATAACTGGCAGAACCAAATGAGGGCACAGGGAATGGTGTTGCATATTTCTCGCATACATTTCTCTCACGTCAGGTCATTCCAGGGCCACAGTGACACAGATCTCTCAGAGTGATTTGGGGAGATATTTTTAAGGCCAACTTACTAAGTCGTGTGAGTCATATCAGCCCAGAATCCAGGAAAACTAACAATTTTAAGAGACCCAAAAGAAGAAAAATGGATAAATTCATTATTTTTCTTAGAAATCAAGAAATTTCAATAGTGATGCCATGCTAATCAATTTAGAAATTATTAAAATTACTCCTACAACTTACTGCAATATGAGTGAAATAAAATGAGTAATATTTTCAGTAATCACAAAAGTATAAAGTAATCACATACGGTCATTGCTGGTGCATTTCAGAACAGAAACAACAAACTATTTGACAAACATCAGTCTGTTAAGAAAATATCCCTGTTAAGAAAATATCCCTATTTGTCTAAAAGTTAAGTTCATAAATTTCAGATATTCATAAATCATCACTGTCTGACTATATTGGAAAATATCCTTTCTAAGAAAGAAAAGTAGGGCCGGCGCCGTGGCTCAATAGGCTAATCCTCCACCTTGCGGCGCCGGCACACCGGGTTCTAGTCCCGGTTGGGGCGCCGGATTCTGTCCCGGTCGCCCCTCTTCCAGGCCAGCTCTCTGCTATGGCCAGGGAGTGCAGTGGAGGATGGCCCAGGTGCTTGGGCCCTGCACCCCATGGGAGACCAGGAAAAGCACCTGGCTCCTGGCTCCTGCCAGGATCAGCGCGGTGCGCCGGCTGCAGCGGCGGCCATTGGAGGGTGAACCAACGGCAAAAGGAAGACCTTTCTCTCTGTCTCTCTCTCTCACTGTCCACTCTGCCTGTCGAAATCCAAGGACTGAGTGCTTACAAACAACAACAACGAAGAAAGTAACTTCAAGCAAACCTTGGTAGAGTGTGAAAAGAGGAACTTTGAAAATACTCAATTCAGGTTCAACAATAGTTTCATGAGGAAAAAGTAGTGCAAGTATGAAATTACACAGCTCTTTCCATTTTCACAGGTCTAATCTATTCTTTCAATAATGTCCAAAGGCAAATGAAATTTAAAGATGGAGGTGGTTTACAGGCATAAAACGGAGAAACTTTCGCTGAAACTACACTTGAAAGAACAGAACAGAACTATCTTCTCTGCACGTAGTAAATGGTATTGATCAGGACTGAAGGACCATCTGCTCCTCCCCTTAGAAACAGAATATTAACAAAGAGGTGCCTCTATCTGGTACATTATTCAGTTGGAGACATACAGTTCTCTGCCTGATTTCAGTGTGTTAAGATCTATCATAACACTGACTCACCTGAAGACTGGGGTCTCCTTTCGTTTCAAGTAAATCCTGAGATATCAGAAGAGGGTCGCTTTTCCCACAGCTCCCCTGGCTGAGGAGCGTGTCCGCGTAGTTGGGCTGCGGGAAGATCACGTGGCTGTTCCGCGAGTCCGCCGTGAGGGACACCTCGTGGGAATAGGTCTGCAGGAAGGCCCGCACCCCGTCCACGCCCACAAAGTGCGAGGCCGGTACGCCCGCCAGCCCGCCACAGCCTGACGCCCGCAGCAGGCGAGAGCTGTGCCAGCGCCGCAGCCTGAGCGCCAGCAGCACGATGACGAAGGCCAGGAAGACGCAGGACACCGCGGCCACCGCCACCACCAGGTACAGCGTGAGGTCCGACTCGTCCGCACTGGCGGAAGGCTTGAGGCTGCCCAGGTCCGCCAGCACGTCGGGGATGCTGTCGGCCACGGCCACGGTGAGCGTGACGGTGGCCGAGAGCGGGGGCTGGCCGTGGTCCTGGACGGCCACCACGAGGCTCTGCTTGAGCGCGTCTCTGTCCAGCAGGCCGCGCGCAGTGCGCACCTCGCCCGTGTGCAGCCCCACGGAGAACAGCCCCGGCTCGCTGGTCTTGAGCAGGCGGTAGGACAGCCAGGCGTTCTGGCCCGAGTCTCTGTCCACTGCCACCACCTTGGTCACCAGGTATCCAGGCTCTGCTGCGCGGGGCGCTAGCTCCACCCCTGTGGAGCCGTCGGTGGGGAGGGTGGGGTACAGGATCTCGGGGGCGTTGTCATTCTGGTCCACCACGAACAGGGTCAGTGACACGTTGCTGCTGAGCGGCGGGTCCCTGCTGTCGCTGGCTGTCACCCACAGCTGCAGGTCTCGAAACTGCTCATAATCAAAGGAGCGCAGTGCATAGAGGACCCCAGTGTCCGAGTTGATGGAGATGTAGGAGGACAGGGGCGCCCCCTGGAAGGTGTTCTCAGCCAGGGAATAACTGACTTGGGCATTTTCTCCACTATCAGGGTCCTGGGCAGTCATGGTTAAGATGGAGGCTCCTCTGGGGTTGTTTTCAGGAATGTAGGCTGAGTAGGAGGCATGAGAGAAGGCCGGGGGGTTGTCATTGATGTCCACCACATGCAATGAGATGTGAGTTTCTGTAGATAATGGCGGGGTTCCCTGATCCGTTGCAGTGACAGTGATGTTATATTCTGAGACTTCTTCCCTGTCCAGAGTCCCCTGTGTCAGCAACCGATGATAATTTCCATATGCCTTTTCAAGTGTGAATGGCAGACTCTCTGGAATGGAACATGTGACAAGGCCATTCTCCCCCGAGTCACTGTCATGCACGTTGAAAAGCGCAATGACTGTACCTGGTGGAGAAGTTTCTTGGATTGAATTGGTGAGAGATGTCACCGTCACTTCCGGAGCATTGTCATTTACATCCAGAACTGTCACCAGCACTTTAGTTCTGGCTCGAAGACCAGGTCCATCATGGGCTTCAACATCAATATCATAGAATCCAGAGTCTTCATAATCTAGGTCTCCCAGTATTGTTATATCCCCACTCAGAGAATTCAGCTGGAATAGTTGGGATATTTTGTCTCTTACTTTCCGGAAGGAATAAGTCACTTCTCCATTGGCTCCTTCATCTGGGTCAGTGGCTTTTATGGTAAGTAGCCGGGTGCCCACAGGCACGTTTTCCTGAATACTTACATGGTACTCGGGCCGAGTGAATACCGGGGCATTATCATTGATGTCCACAACTGTTATGTGAATCCTGGCCGAGCCAGAGAGAACCGGGTTGCCTCCATCGAAGGCGGTGAGGACAAGCTGGTGGAACGCCTGTTCCTCACGGTCCAGGGCCCGCTCCAGCACCAGCTCTGGGTACTTAATCCCATCCACCCCGCTTTGCACATCCAGGGAGAAGTGATCATTCGAGCTGAGCTGGTAACCTTGCAGGGAATTTACTCCCACATCCGGATCAAAAGCCTCTGGAAGAGGAAATCTTGTCCCTGGAGATTCACTTTCAGCCACTTTTATTTCCCTCTGCTCTGAACCAAAGCTGGGCGCATTATCATTAACATCGAGTATTTCCACTTCTACTCCTAAAATCTTCACTTTGTCCTCTAGGAGAATCTCCAGGTTTGCCACACATGTTGGAGCTCGGTCACAGAGCTCCTCCCGGTCTATCCTGTCCGCGGTAACCAAGCCGCCGCTGCGCGCGTTCAGCGCGAACAGCTGCGCCCTACCTCGGGACACGATGCGGACTCCGCGCTCCGCCAGCTCCCGCGGCTCCAGCCCCAGGTCCTTGGCGATGTTACCCACGAAGGAGCCTTTCTCCAGCTCCTCAGGCATAGAGTAGCGGATCTCTTCAGCCCAGATTTCCCACAGGGTCCCCAGAAGAACGCAGATCCGGATCAGCCGGCTGCAGCCTGAGCGATGAGGAGGAGCCGCCATTACAGCCCCGCTGCAGAAGAGCCTGCTTGGGTTTTCCTGGGAGGACAGCTGGCGAGCCCTAGGATCTTTGGGGTCCAGGATAACGTGCCTTCAACAATACCTGTGGGAGCTCTCGGGGGTCCAGGCTGAAGCTTCCGCAAAGTCCCGGAATCATGGTTTCGTGCTGAAAAAATCTTGTTCAGATTGAATTTCTGGTTGTCTTTTTTCCCCTGATTGGTGAACAGCGACACTCAGAGTCCTAATCTGTTACTGCAATATTTTTTTAGTAACTAGAGCATCACTTTTATATACCTTTCCCATATCTAACCCTACTTTCACAAAGAAGAACAAAAGTTGGATTCCAGTTGCTTAATTTACAATGGAAATCTAGGGATTATCTAAAGCTTCCAGTTCAGTACACTTTTTTACATTGTTTATTTTCACAGAGAAAATACTATGGTAATTTTGACTATTTTCTACATTTTTTTCAAAGATAGCATTATTCATCCCCATAGCCCACTCTTAGTATAGTGTGTTGTGTGGGGACATAGTCATCCTCCTAAGAAAAAGTGTGGACTTGAAGAATAAAGGAAAAAGGTAGTTGAAATAACAGTGGCCAGCAAGGTGGAGCTTTAGACCCAACCTATACAGGAAGTTTTCTCATGTGAGCTGACCTTTAGGGCCTGGGACAACTTTTCAATCCCCTTGCAAGAAATGTATGTTGTTCAAGAGATAATCTTACCCCCTTTGTAAGTAAGGTTGGCAAACAGTGATTTTAGGCCACAAGGTATGCCTGTGACTATCTTGTTCACAGTATGTCCTCAAGCTGTAAGACAGCAACTTCCACAGAGCAGGCACTCACGTGTTTTCCATGTTTAATGAATGGATTGCAAAGGCAAAGAGTAAAATAGTAGGCCATAAATCTGGCGATAAAAATAACTAAGAGGCAAAATCAGAAAAGTTGGACTTAAATCCTGGAAGAAGCAGATATTTCTTTGATTTTTTCATGTAAGACACATCCAATATTATTTTGCCATTATTGCTAAGTTTACTTTAGCTTTGATTTTGGAAGCAACCAGTAAATGGAAATATTTTAGTTGTGCATGCATTATCAATGCATGTTTCATCACTTAATTATTCAAGAACGCTTACTTTACTAGTCTGAGATTTGAGATAAAGCATCAAGTTACCAGCTCTTTAGATTATTCCCCACTTAACAATTAACACCTAAAAATGATTCATAAATTTTAAAGAGGCACAAAAGTCCATGAACTATACATAAGTTTTGCATCTTCAGACTTTGAAAGAGTAGAGTACAGGTGTTTTACAAAAGCCTCAAAGGAAGTTCCTGAGGGGTGAGGATAAAATGAGATGCTTGGAAATAAATTAGACAATATGTGCAAGATATCCCAAAACATGTGCAGATTTGACTTATTTCTCAGAGATCTATATTAAAGAAACAAAATGACATATATAAAAAGGCCTTATAAATAAAAATTATTAATTACAATGTGACAAAGCAGTGATGAAGTAGAAAGAGAATAAACATAAATGACTAAAGAATGGTTAAGAAAACCATCTAAGGGGCCAGTGCTATGGCTAACTGGTGCAGCATATAAGCCCCTGTCCACAGCAACGGCATCTCATATGGGCACCAGTTCCAGTCCTGGCTGCTGCACTCCCCATCCAGCTCCCTGCTATTTAACCTGGTGGGGAGGGCATCAGATAATGGCCCAGGCACTTGGGCCCCTACCACTCAAATGGAAGACCAGGATTAACCTCCTGGCTCCTAGCTTCTGCATAGCCCAACCCTGGCCACTGTGGCCACTTGAGGAGTGAACAAGTAAATGGAAGCACTCTTTCTCTCCTTCTCTCCCTCTCTCTCTCTCCCTTTCTCTCTCTCTCCCCTTTTCTCTCTGACTGCCTTTTAGACAAAGAAATCTTTAAGAAAAAAGAAAACTATGGAACATCCTTGAAATTATTTTAAAAGATTTATTTATTATTTATTTGAAAGAGTTAGAGACAGAGAGAGAGGGAGAGACATATATTCCATCTGCTGGTTCAATTCCCAAGTGGCCACAACAGCTGGAGTTGGACCAGGTGGAAGCCAAGTACATAGGAGCTTCTTCTGGGTCTCCCACGTGGGTGCGGGAACTCAACCACTTGGGCCATCTTTTGCTGCTTTCCCAGACACATTAGCAGAGAACTGGATCAGAAGTGGAGCACCTGGGTCTTGAACCAGCACACAAAAGGAATGTGGGGCATTGTAGGTGGTGGCTAACCCATTAATCCACAATGCAAGACCTCTTGAATGAAATTACAAATGAGGATGGTATTTACCTAAAGATTGTGATTCAAATGCAAAGTGTGAAAATCTTAGCTACTTGTGATAAGACAAATAGGGAGGAAGAGGCTTTGTTATTGAAAGTTGGTGTTAAGTACACGTGTTGGTGTGAAGAGGTAAACAAACAGGATGTAAGGGATGAAGGTGAACATAAACTTTAGCGCCGGCAGAATGATCTGTCAACACATTTATAAAATGTTAACCATAAGATTACTTGAAAAAAAAAAAACAGTATCAATTAAAAAGGGCACTGTTATTACTAAGAGTGGTGGCATCCAGGAAACATTTTTTTTAGCAAGAATTATCAACCACACAGAAATGCCATCAGTAAAGATTGAAAATTAGTAATCAAATAGCTTAGAAGAGTCCTGAGTATCCAAGAAACCAATATCCACCCATCTAATATACACCAGCTTTCCCAGACACCATGACCAAAACCACAAAAACGACGACCAAAATTAACTATGCACGACTGAGCGATTGAGAGGCAGAAATAATATAGAAAATTTAAATAGGTTTGCAGAAACTCACGTGAGAGGAAAAAGAAGATTCATCAGCGATTTGGGGACCTTCATTATTGGCACAAACAGCCACAGAAGAATCGCCACTCAGGAGATCCTGAGGGACAGCCACTTCCGGGGTCACGTTGAGAAAATTAAACTCTGTCTTTGCAGAATGGGAGGCAACGCAGAAATTATAGGAATAGGGCAAAGTTCCTTGGCTGTAGTCGGGGAGAACCACGGGTCCAGACTTGACGCACAGACCGGGCTGGAAGCAGCCCCAGGCGGCGGGGCTGGGGGAGTGTCGCAGGCGCAGGCCGATGGCCAGGATCACCGCCAGCAGGAAGAGCACAGAGATGGCCGCCAAGGCCACCACCAGGTAGAACTGCAGCTCGGCCTGCGTGTCAGACGGGCCGGGGTCGTCACTGAGGTCCGGCAGCGCCTCCTGCAGGCTGTCGGCGAAGACCAGGTGCAGCGTGGCGGTGGCCGAGAGCGGCGGCTGGCCACCGTCGCGCACCGCGACCAGCAGGCGCTGGCGCGCCGCGTCCCTGTCGCCCAAGCGCGCGCGTGCGCAACATCGCCCGTGCGCAGCCCCAGGCTGAAGAGCCAGGGCTCGCTGACTGCAGCACGTGGTAGACACAGCCAAGGCGTTGTGCCCAGAGTCGGCGTCCACCGCCACCCCCTTTGTGGCCAGGTAATCCGGGCTCGGCGGCGCGCGGCACCGTGTCGAAGAGCGCCGAGCCGTCGGGCCCCAGCGCCGGGTACAGCACCCGCGGCGCGTTGTCGTTGCGGTCGCCCACCAGCACGCGCAGGCTCACGTTGGCGCGCAGCGCGGGCGAGCCCTGGTCGCGGGCCTGCAGCGTCAGCTCCAGGGCGCGCAGCTGCTCGTGGTCGAAGGCGCGCTGCGCGAACACCACGCCGCTGTGCGCGCTCACCGACACGTAGGACGACAGCGCGCGCGGCTCCAGGTCGCTGGCCACGATGGAGTAGGACACCTGGCCGTTGGGGCCCACGTCCGGGTCGGAGGCGCTGACCTGCGCGATGGAGGCTCCCGGGGGGTTGTTCTCGGGCACGTGGACCACGTAGGCGGCCTGGTGGAAAACCGGAGCGTTGTCGTTGACGTCTGAGATGTGTACAGTGACGCTGATGCTGGAGGAGAGGGGAGGCTTGCCCCTGTCGGTAGCTGTGATTGTGATATTATATTCTGAGATCTTCTCCCGGTCAAGAGTCCTGTCAATCACCAACTTGTAGTAATTCTTGGAGGTGGATTCTAATTTGAAGGGAACTTCTTCCTGAACGTAGCATGTCACTACACCATTTTGCCCAGAATCCCGATCTCGCACTTTAATCAGGGCTATTACAGTTCCAAGATCTGAGTCCTCTGGGATCTGGCTAGAAAAGGACATGAATGTCACCTCTGGGGCATTGTCATTCACATCGCTGATTTCAATCTGCACATTACAGTGAGCTGTGTGCACCCCTCCATCCTTGGCTTCTATACCCAACATGTATCGATTCCTTTCTTCAAAGTCCAGTGTACCATTGGTTGTGATCTCTCCAGTGTTTGGGTTGAGACTGAAGAAGAGGCCGGTACTCGTTGGGGCCTTGAGGAAGGCATAAGTGATCTCTGCATTTACACCTTCATCCTGGTCTGTGGCCGTCACCTGCAGCACAGAGGTTCCCCAGGGCACGTTTTCTTGGAGGCTAACTCTGTATACATCCTGGCTGAACACTGGGGCATTATCATTGGCGTCAGTGACGTGGATCCGGATCTCAGTGGTGCTGCTCAGAGGAGGGTCTCCGCCATCCACAGCAGTCAGGATTAGGCGGTGGGAGCTCTGATGTTCCCTGTCTAAAGGTTTTTCCAGCAGCAGTTCAGGGTATTTACTTCCATCAGGACTTTCCTTCGTTGACAGAGAGAAGTATTGGTTGGGGCTGATGGTATATATCTTCAGAGAGTTACTTTCTACATCTGCATCTTGTGCAGAATCCAGAGAGAATTTTACCCCTGGTAAGGCTGACTCGCAGATTTCTAAATCAATGTCTTTTGTAAGGAAACGTGGTGCGTTGTCATTAACATCTTGGATTGCAACAGTCACATGGAAAATATTCATTGGATTTTCTGTGACCAGTTCAAATTCTAGTGTACATTCAGATTTCTGTCCACAAATCTTCTCTCGGTCTATCCTGCCACTCACCAACAAATCCCCGCTCTCCGCACTAACGCTGAAATAATCCTCTGCACTAACCCGCAGTTTCCGAGCTGGTAACTCTCGGACACTGAACCCCAGATCCTTAGCAAGGTTCCCCACCCGTGAGCCCTTGGCCAGTTCCTCTGGAATTGAGTAGTGGATCTGTTGGGAGATGACCCCGCCGAACAAAGACAGCAGGAAGAGAAACAGTACCTGACTTTTCATCTTCTCGGCTTCTCTGGCACTCCTCCACATTGCTCAAATTCTCCACGAAGCGTCTTTTCAAGGTTTCTCCGGGATCTTTATTTTAAAAATGAGTGGCGGCACCCTAGACGTTGAGATTTGAGGGTAGGACTTTTTTATTAGGCGCTTGAGGGTGCCCGGAGCAGCCTCCGCGTTCTGATGCGCGCCGACAAAGCAGGATTGCTCTCCGCCAGACCACTGCGCAGAACTGAGAGCCCTTCTTTTCCTTTTGGTCGACAGCGGCGCCTGGAGGTTGTCTTGAAAAACTGCATACTAGCCCAGCTATTTGTCTTCGAAGTGTAAATTCTTGAATCTGTGAGCCTACGTTATCTTTTAATTTAATGGAGAGAACTAAATAAACATTGTACACATTTTTGTTACTTTCCTGTTTCTTATCTCACTAGCAACATCATCATTTCACATTCTTTTGTTTCACAAGACATACAGCCATTCTTTTCAGTTTGGGAGGCAAAAAGACCTTCAATGATTTCAGCGTGCAGTATTTATAAACTTTGATGTGAATGGTTTTTTACCCACATTTTTAATGGGCTATGATCCTTTCCCATCTGTAAATTCACTGTAATGACTTCCTTTATTTAGTATTATAAACTTTTCCATATATACTTTATCATGTCAATATTACCTTTAAAAGACATGAATCTTGGCAAAAATGAAGGAGACAAGGCTCTACAATTATTTTAATGTGCTGTTCTTCTTTATAAAAAGAGCATTTCCTGGCTAGTAGCATGGATATTTTGTTAAAAGAGTCAATTTATTATTTGGGCCCACATGTGCCTTCATACAGTTGAATCTTGTATAAGCCATATTCATTTTTATGAAACTGAGGATTCCTTTGTATATTAATGTATATGTGATCCTCTTTAATGGCAGTTCTTAGCTTCAACCAACTTATACAATTAATTCCTGAAATAAATTTCACTTGATCTCTGGTAAATCTTGGTGAGGCATTGAAGTTTCTTAAACATTCCATTTTAGAATTTATCCTGGTACTCACACCAATCCTTCTATTTTGAGTGCATTATCATAGATGCTGCTGTAGTTTGAATGATCCACCATTTCATGTATTGGAAACTTCATTCCACAGTACATATGTTAATGATATTTGGAGGTAGGACTTTTGAGAGATGACTGAGTCATGAGGGTTCTGCCCTCAGGAATGAATTAGTCCACAACTGATCTAATGTACATCACAGGAGTGGCTTTGCAAATAAAGCAGCTCTTTCTTGGTCAGTCTCAAGACTCTCCCTGTCTTGCCAAGTGATGGTGCACGAAGACCCTCAGCAGGTGCTGAGTGGACGCAGGCACTGTGCTCTAGCACTTCCCAGCCCCCAGGACTGTATTCTAAGTACACCTCTATTCTATGTAAATTACCTGGTGAAAGGTATTGTGCTATAGCAACAGGAAATAGACTAAGACAGACAAAGACTCAGCCATTTTATTTTACTGTTTTGCAGTGTTGATAATACTCATCTCATACTCCAGTTAAAACAGACCATTATTTGTTTTCCTAAGACAGACAGCCTTTATACTTTCTATTCCTTTTATTATGAACTTCTCTTCCCTTTCTCTTGTAATGAATTTATGCAATTCCTTATTTCAGGAAAAAACACTATTTGTAGTGAAAATAGGATATCAAGATCTCTCATTATGTGTACAAGCAAATGGAAATTATACTGCTTTTGTACTCAGAATATTTTCATGACATACTTGTAGACAATGCCTCACATGGAATACATAGAGAATTCTGTTTGAGCATCCAAATTTCCCCTGAGATTAGCCATTTGTTGTTTTTCTCCTTACAAGGAAATGGATATAAATACTATGAAGATTTTTCCTTACAAAATATATGGCAAAAGTTATGCATCTTTCAAACATTTATTTGGGGGCCAACATTGTGGCACAGTGTATTGTACTGAGCCTTCCAATACCTATTTCTTGCATGCTCTGCTTCAAATCAAGCTTCCTGCTAATGCTCTTTGGAAGGCAGCAGAAGATGGCCCAAGTGCTTGCACATCTGCATTCACATGGGAGACTTAGTGGAGCTCCTGGTTCCTATCTTCACCTTGGCCCAGCCCTAGCTTTTACCTCCATCTGGGAAAATGAACCAGTGAAAGGAAAATATTTCTCTCTCTCTCTCCCTCTCTCTCTCCCCCCTCTGTCACTTTGCCTTTCAAATAAATCTTAAAATTTTGCTTTATTTTTATTTGGAAGGCACACACACACATACACACACACAGTTTCCATCTACTAGTTCACTGCCCAAAGGAGGCTGGAACTCAATCTGGATTTCCCATGTGGGTGGCAGCACCCAACTACTTGAGCCACCATGTGCTGCAATAGCAGTAGCTAGAACTAGAAGTGGAGTCAAAATTGGAGCCCAGGAACTCTGATATGGGATGTGGGCATCCCAGGTGGGGACTTAAACAGTGTTCCCAATGCTTGCACCAGGTTATGAACTTTTTTTATTCCATGATGAATTTGAAAGTTTGAGTGAGAATACACCTTTATTTACTTACCATTTTCTTCAGATCCTGTTGTTTCTTGTGTTTAAATGTGCCTTTTCTTAATATATCGAGGGACAGATCTAAACTTTTTCTTTCTTTGTTTTTTTTCTCTTTAAAGATTTATTTGTTTGTTTCAAAGGCAGAGTTACACACAGAGAGAAGGAGAGACACAGAGAGACATCTTCCATCTGCTGGTTCACTCCCCAAATGGCCACAACAGTCAGCACTGGGCCAGGATGAAATCAAGAGCCAGGAACTTCTTCCAGGCCTCCCATGTGACTACAGGGGACCAAGCACTTGGACCATCCTCCACTGCTTTCCCAGGTGCACTATCAGGGAGCTGGATCAAAAGTGGAGCAGTTGGGAATATGGGATGCCAGGGCTGCGGGCCACAGCATCCTGCTGAGCCACAGAGCCAGTGGCCCCAAGGGATCTATTCCTCTGTTTGAGTTCTATATATGAAATATATTTTGGTCCAATTTTGGATGACTCCTTTGTGACTTCATGAATAAAAGTAATTTTATAAATTTCAGAATGGTCCAACAAGCTATAGAGCATGAGCAGGAATCCTAATAATTGTTAGGGGTGGTCTAGAAATTTGCAGATATTCAGACATATCCCTCTACATTTTAATCCTTCTCAAAGGGCAATAAATATAACTCCAAGTCTCATGATAGTTTAAACCCATGAACCTTTCCACCTTCAGACAAAAAGCTAAAGGCAATATGAACACACATACACACACACACACTCTTTAGGTACTATAGGTAAAATCATTTGATTAATGTCTACCTTTTTAATCTACCACTTTTTATGTCTTTGTGATGAAAAGTGTGTGGCCTGGCTTGGACAGAGTCAAATATAACTTTATGGGAGCACCAAACAACTTGTATCAGTACATTGTTAAGCTTATTTATATCAGGACAGGCTGAGTCGACTGGCTTAACACATTTCAATTCATGAAGATTTAAAATGCAAAAGGTCTATTCCTCATAGATATACAGAGCAGTGTTGGGCAACCACAGGCTCTTCTCATCGTAATGACTCAAGGAAACTGGTAGAAGAAGCAGTCACAATTCTAAAGAATAAGTTACAGATGAGAAAATTCTCAAAATGGCAACAAGAGCTTCCTAGGAGAAGTGACACATGTGACTTCCACTCACAGATTCATTGATCAGAACCGGCTACACAGGCCCCTCAGCTGTAACCAGGCCGGGAAGTGCCATTGGAAACCCGGAAGGAGACAGGGACAAATATTTAGAGATCAGCACTAATGATGACTTTGCTGCTTTATTTTTCAAACAGATGTGTGTTAACGATTTATAACAATCTCATTGGCATGCTTGTTTTCATAATATTGGGAAAAAAAAAGAACTCACCAGAGGTAGCTTGGTGTCTTCTTTCGCTTCAGTTAAATCCTGAGAGATCAGAAGAGGGTCGCTTTTCCCACAGCTCCCCTGGCTGAGGAGCGTGTCCGCGTAGTTGGGCTGCGGGAAGATCACGTGGCTGCTCCGCGAGTCCGCCGTGAGGGACACCTCGTGGGAATAGGTCTGCAGGAAGGCCCGCACCCCGTCCACGCCCACAAAGTGCGAGGCCGGCACGCCCGCCAGCCCACCACAGCCCGACGCCCGCAGCAGGCGAGTGCTGTGCCAGCGCCGCAGCCTGAGCGCCAGCAGCACGATGACGAAGGCCAGGAAGACGCAGGACACCGCGGCCACCGCCACCACCAGGTACAGCGTGAGGTCCGACTCGTCCGCACTGGCGGAAGGCTTGAGGCTGCCCAGGTCCGCCAGCACGTCGGGGATGCTGTCGGCCACGGCCACGGTGAGCGTGACGGTGGCCGAGAGCGGGGGCTGGCCGTGGTCCTGGACGGCCACCACGAGGCTCTGCTTGAGCGCGTCTCTGTCCAGCAGGCCGCGCGCCGTGCGCACCTCGCCCGTGTGCAGCCCCACGGCGAACAGCCCCGGCTCGCTGGCCTTGAGCAGGCGGTAGGACAGCCAGGCGTTCTGGCCCGAGTCTCTGTCCACTGCCACCACCTTGGTCACCAGGTATCCAGGCTCTGCGGCGCGGGGCGCCAGCTCCACGCCTGTGGAGCCGTCGGTGGGGAGGGTGGGGTACAGGATCTCGGGGGCGTTGTCGTTCTGGTCCACCACGAACAGGGTCAGCGACACGTTGCTGCTGAGTGGCGGGTCCCCGCTGTCGCTGGCTGTCACCCACAGCTGCAGGTCCCTAAACTGCTCATAATCAAAGGAGCGCAGCGCATAGAGGACTCCAGTGTCAGAATTGATGGAGACGTAGGAGGACAGGGGCGCCCCCTGGACGGTATCCTCGGTCAATGCATATGTGATGCGGGCATTACTGTCGCTATCTGGGTCCTGGGCGGTGGCGGAGAAGATGGAGGCTCCTCGGGGATTGTTTTCAGGAACGTAGGTAGAGTAGGAAGCGTGAGGGAAGGCGGGCGGGTTATCATTAATGTCTGCTACGAGCAGAGTGATGTGAGCTTCCGTGGACAGAGGCGGACTTCCCCCGTCTGTGGCTCTCAGACTGATGTTATATTCTGGCACTCGTTCACGGTCCAGCGACTCGGCTGTCACTAGGCGATAATACTGGTCTATTGACTTTTCTAAGGTAAATGGCAGGTTTTCCAGGACAAAAACCGTGACTTGCCCGTTCTGCCCTGAATCCCGGTCGTGCACATGGATAAGGGCAATTTCTCTTCCAGCAGAAGCCTCTTCCGGGACTGAGCCTGTGAGAGAAGTGACTGTAACTTCTGGGGCATTGTCATTCACATCCACGACTGTGACTAAAATCTTGGCTTTTGAAAGAAGACCAGGTCCATCTTGTGCTTCAATTTTAATTTCATAAAACATCGCATCCTCATAGTCTAGACTTTTTAATATTGATATGTCTCCAGTCACTGAGTTGAGGTCGAAAATCTCAGCGATCTTCCCAGGCATTTTATCTAGGACATAGGACACTTGAGCGTTAAATCCCTCGTCAGGGTCTGTGGCATTGACCGTGAGAAGCCGCGTACCCACTGGCACGTTTTCTTGAACACTTACCCTGTACTCGGGCTGTGTGAACACTGGTGGGTTGTCGTTTGCATCTAGAACAATCACTTGGATGTACAAGTTGCCTGAGCGGACAGGGTCACCCCCATCAGAGGCAACGAGGACAAGCTGGTGAACCTCCTGTTTCTCACGGTCCAGTGCGCGCTCCAGAACCAGCTCCGGATACTTGGCTCCATCAGACACGCTATTCACAGCCAGGGAGAAATAGTCGTTGAGGCTGAGCTTGTAGTCCTGCAGGGAGTTTGCGCCCACATCTGGGTCAAAGGCTGTCTTAAGAGGAAATCTGGTTCCAGGAGCTGTTAGTTCAACAATTTTTATTTCCAATTCCTCTGTTAGAAAATTTGGAGCATTATCATTGATGTCTTGAATTTCTACTTCTACTTCAAAAATTTTCAATTTGTCCTCAACCAGGATGTTAAATTTTACCGCGCATCGCGCGATCTGCGCGCAGAGCTCCTCCCGGTCTATCCTGCCCGCGGTGACCAAGCTGCCGCTGCGCGCGTTCAGAGCAAACAGCTGCGCCCTACCTCGGGACACGATGCGGACTCCGCGCTGCGCCAGCTCCCGCGGCTCCAGCCCCAGGTCCTTGGCGATGTTACCCACGAAGGAGCCTTTTTCCAGCTCCTCCGGCACGGCGTAGCGGATCTGCCCGTATCCTGTCTCACACAGCGTCCCCAGGAGCGCGCCCAGCAGAGCCAATCCCGCGCAGTCTCGGAATCTCAGACAACTGGTCATTTTCCTCCTTGGTGAATTCTTCTCTCTGAAATTTGTTCCCATTTCCCGCCACGGATTCCAATCTTATTTTCCCAAGACACTCAGGCTTTCATGGTCCTAATTCCTAGGTCCCAGAGCTAACTGACCTCCGGGGTGAGCTTGGTAGCCGCTGGGGATCTTCTGAGACTGAGGTGCGGGTTCTTTGCGTTTTAGAAGCAAGGAAATGGAGGACTTGCTCTCCAGCTTTTTTTCCCTTGAGTGGTCAACAGCGACGCTCAGAGGCCTAACCATTTACTGCACCCTCGCTAACAATTCTAAGTTTAAGTTCTCAGAAGTCTGAAATCATTTTTGTCAAAGGTAATGGGCCTGGTGTTGATTCCACACAACTGAATTGATAGTGTGACTTTGGTTACAGTTCCTATCAAGTCATGCACTAACATAACTTCACCCATATTGCTTCAAACATGGTGGACTTGGTGTTTCCAAATGTTCAGTTTAAGGATCACCCAGAAATACCAGTTGTTTTTGAATGTGTCCTTAAGAGCCTGACACTCTAGTTTTAATATTTGCTATTTAACCGGTTTGAGCAAGCACAAAATCGGGTTCCAGACAATATGTCTGTCTGGGGTGTTTAGGTGAATGACATAGCCACAGCCTCTTCCTTCACCAGGAAAATAAACTGATGTGATCACTACACTGGGGAGAATGGGCAGGGAGAATGGGCAGGCCTCCAACCTGGCCTTGGAGGTAAGCAAAAGGCTTTCCCAGCAAACATGAGAGGAGTAGATCCTTGAAAGGCTTGGAGGTGAAAAGAATGCTTGGCAACATCTAGATCTGAGAGAGAATCACAGGCCTTGGGGTACTGAAAGAGGCTCATCTTTCCTAAATCTGGAGTGTGCCAGTGTTTTCTAAAAACCACCACTAAAATCGGAAGGGATAAATTCTTGTTTTGTTCCAGAATCCTTTTGCTTGTATGCCTGACTCTCCATGCACAGAGATAGATACACAACATATTTCTCAGTTTCAGTGTGATGCAGTACGCACCTATCTATAAAGGCACTTATTCTCCCAGGCCCCACACACTTTAATAGGAACCCTGTCTTTAGCTTCCTCTATTCATACTTTATTAATTACAAGTAAAGCTGTTATGGCAGTTTATTCCAGAGTTAGTTCCAATTTTACCTCATAGATACTTATGTAATATTAAACACAATGGAATACATTGTATCAAATTTTTCCTTGTCAGATGTGTTTAAATACAATAAAGAATCATTGAATTTGTGAGATGAAAAGCCAGTTTTTGCAATCTCAGCTATTACGTGTGTTTACTCTCCAATCAAAATTAAGAACAATCCCCGTGATGTAGAAAACATGTGTGTTCACTGTCCTCTGTTATTAAAGATATAAACAGCATAAAAAGCCAACATGGAAAGAGGAACGGAGAAGGAAAACTGATGGGAGAGGGCCTGGGACATTTTTACAGCTGCTATGAGTTGGGAACTTTGAGAAGACAGACGTACACAGAGGACCTTCGGGGGAAACTGTATGCTGTGGCCTCTGAGTCCCTGTATCTTTTCTTTAAACAAAGGCATAATGAAGATATACATTATTTTTAAAGATTAGAAAGACAATGTGGTTTCTTGAAATGAAAAACAAAAAATAACACAGAAGAAAAATCTGTTTATAATCATTCTACCAATTTATTATAGAGCAAACGGTAATATTTCTTTAAGGACCACATTACTAATGGCAGTTTTTTATATAAGCAGCGATAATTCTTTTTAAAGACTTATTTATTTGTTTATTGATTGATTGTTTTGAAAGGCAGAGTGACACAGAAAGAGAAGAAGAGTCAGAGAAAGAGATCTTCCATTCACTAGTTCGCTCCCGAAAGGGTCACAACAGCCAGGTCTGGACCAGGTGGAAGCCATCCTGGTCTCCCACATGGGTGGCAGAGGGCCAACTCCTTGGGCCATCCTCTGCTGCCTTCCCAGCATATTACAGGGAGGTGGATTGGAAGTGGAGCAGCAGGGACTCCAACCAGTGCTCTGATAAGGGACACCAGCGATGCAAGCACCTGCCTAACACTCTGCGCCACAATGCCAGCATCAGAGATAATTCTTGAAACACTGTGAGATGTGTATTTCTGAATTTCTATCTGTTTCATAGGGAAAGTTATGTAATTTAAGAAAAATGAAGAATGACACTGCCAAACAATGGGGGAAATATTAAGACTGAGTGAGGAACAATGAACCAACTAAGGCACTCATCTATTTATACACGACTTAAACACAAAGCAAACGGCACACTGGAAAGGAGGAAGGGACCCAGGTACAAAGTGCCTCCTCCATGCTCTTAAGATGCAACTCTTGATCCAGGTAGATGAGACAATTTGCAGGAGGGTGAGGAGGAAACCAGGCAGCACAGTTCTTAATGCAGTGCCCTTTTGTAAATTTCAATATCACCTTCACCAATTAACTTTGATATACACTCATTACACAAGGATTTAGCTGGTTCTATCCCTTACACTCTGAGCACTTAAAATTCCCTAGAAATAATTCACCAGAATTCATTTCCTAAAAATGAACATATTCCTAAGGAAATATTGGGAATAAAAGAAATATAGCAAACAGTGGAAGCAATTAGGTAAATAGGTAAATTTGTTGATTTTAGCAAAATAAGTATGAGAAAGGATGGTTTACCTGAGCAGATGTTGTTTCTCCCTTGTCTTCCAGGAGAGACTGCGGTGCTGACAGAAAATCCTTTTTCTCACAGCTCTCCTGGCTGATGCTGAGGAGCGTGTCCGCGTAGTTGGGCTGCGGGAAGATCACGTGGCTGCTCCGCGAGTCCGCCGTGAGGGACACCTCGTGGGAATAGGTCTGCAGGAAGGCGCGCACCCCGTCCACGCCCACAAAGTGCGAGGCCGGTACGCCCGCCAGCCCGCCACAGCCCGACGCCCGCAGCAGGCGAGAGCTGTGCCAGCGCCGCAGCCTGAGCGCCAGCAGCACGATGACGAAGGCCAGGAAGACGCAGGACACCGCGGCCACCGCCACCACCAGGTACAGCGTGAGGTCCGACTCGTCCGCACTGGCGGAAGGCTTGAGGCTGCCCAGGTCCGCCAGCACGTCGGGGATGCTGTCGGCCACGGCCACGGTGAGCGTGACGGTGGCCGAGAGCGGGGGCTGGCCGTGGTCCTGGACGGCCACCACGAGGCTCTGCTTGAGCGCGTCTCTGTCCAGCAGGCCGCGCGCAGTGCGCACCTCGCCCGTGTGCAGCCCCACGGCGAACAGCCCCGGCTCGCTGGCCTTGAGCAGGCGGTAGGACAGCCAGGCGTTCTGGCCCGAGTCTCTGTCCACTGCCACCACCTTGGTCACCAGGTATCCGGGCTCTGCGGCACGGGGCGCTAGCTCCACCCCTGTGGAGCCATCGGTGGGGAGGGTGGGGTACAGGATCTCGGGGGCGTTGTCGTTCTGGTCCACCACGAACAGGGTCAGCGACACGTTGCTGCTGAGCGGTGGGTCGCCGCTGTCGCTGGCTGTCACCCACAGCTGCAGGTCTCGAAACTGCTCATAATCAAAGGAGCGCAGCGCATAGAGGACTCCAGTGTCAGAGTTGATGGAGATGTAGGAGGACAGGGGCGCCCCTTGAAGGGAATCCTCTGCCAGGGAGTAGGTCACATGGGCATTGTCGTCGCTGTCAGGGTCTTGAGCCAACACCGAAAAGATGGAGGCTCCTCTGGGGTTGTTTTCGAGAATGTATGTGGAGTAGGACGCACGCCCGAAGGCGGGAGGGTTATCGTTGACGTCTGCCACCTGCAGAAAAACGTGGGTGTCCGTGGACAGGGACGGATCCCCTCCATCTTTAGCAGTCAGAGTGATGTTGTAAGAGGAAGCCTGTTCCCTGTCCAGTGTTCTGGATGTCACCAGTCGGTGGTAATTGTCCACTGACCTCTCTAACTTGAAAGGAAGGCCCTCGGGGAGTGAACATGTGATAAATGCATTCTGTCCAGAGTCCCTATCGTGGACATTGAACAGTGCGATCACGGTTCCAGGAGCCGAGTCCTCAGCAACCGAGCTCACAACAGACGTCATGTAGAATTCTGGGGCATTGTCGTTCACGTCGAGAATCGTGACAGTAACCTTGGTTCTGGTCAGAAGTCCAGGACCATCCTGGGCTTCAATGTCAATTTCATGGGATTTGGCATCTTCGTAATCTAGATTTTTTACGATTGTTAAATCTCCAGATGTCGACTGAAGCTCAAACACCTGTGAAGTCTCTCCAGGGGTTTTCTCTCGAAAATACGCCACCTGGGCATTGTACCCGTCATCTGCGTCAGTAGCAGACACCGTGAGTATCCGCGTGCCCACAGGAACGTTCTCCGCAACACTGACGCGGTACTCAGGCTGTGTGAAAACGGGAGCGTTGTCGTTGGCGTCCAGGACATTCACGCGGATGCGGGAGGTGCCAGATCGCACAGGGTCGCCCCCGTCGGAAGCGGTGAGAAGCAGGTGGTGAACCGCCTCTTCCTCCCGGTCCAAAGCGCGCTCCAGCACCAGCTCGGGGTACTTGTTCCCTTCGGCTCCGCTTCGCACGTCCAGGGAGAAGTGGTCATTTGGGTTGAGTTCGTACTTCTGCAGGGTGTTCTCTCCCACGTCCGGATCATGCGCGCTCTTAAGAGGAATCCGGAATCCCGGGGTAGTGGTTTCACTGATTTTTATTTCCAGTTCCTCTCCTCCAAAGCGAGGGGCATTATCGTTAATATCTGTGATCTCCACCTCTACAGAATAAATAGTCAATTTGTCTTCCAGTAGAATATTAAAGCTCACCAGGCACGGCGCGCTCTGAGCGCAGAGCTCCTCCCGGTCTATCCTGCCCGCGGTGACCAAGGCGCCGCTGCGCGCGTTCAGAGCGAAGAGCTGCGCCCTACCTCGGGACACGATGCGGACTCCGCGCTGCGCCAGCTCCCGCGGCTCCCAACCCAAGTCCTTGGCGATGTTGCCCACAAAGGAGCCTTTGTCGACCTCTTCCCGCACAGAGTAGCGAATCTGCCTGGCTGCCGCCACTCCCAGGGCGGCGAGGAGAAGTCGCAGCAGGACCAGCCCTGCGCTGCGTGGTACCTTCTGCAGAACCGCCATTTCCCTTCGGCCGCGGTGTTTTCTCCCAGCCAACTCCGGCCTCCAGTGCGGGATTCCAATCTTTATGGTTCAGGGTCTGAGATGATCAGCACTCAGAGGGCCCAGGCCACTGCGGAACTTGTGGACTGCGGGACCGAATTTCTTTGCCGCACCGAAGTTTGCGGGCCAAACGCTCAGCCCCCTGCGTTGTGGAAGAAATCCGGTTGGACTGGGCGTCTCGCTGCCTTAGGTGGTCAACAGCGACGCTCAGAGGCCGCACTAGTGTCTGCACCCGCCTAGACATAACCAGCTTTTTCTTGTTTATGTTCGCCTTAAATTGTTTTCAAGGATCTTAATGGTTTTAAGATACTTTAAGAAGTAAATCTTCAGGGTAGGAATCATTTTCCCCCACAAAAATAATACGAGTTGTTTAAGTAAATGTGACCTTGGTAGTATTACCGAATGCTGAAGTCATTAATCCACAAGCTGCCCTTGTTCCAAACACCTTCCCCCTGCTTATTGCACATCCAGAGACACTAAGATTATGAAACATCAGTTTTTCTAAGGCTACATATTCTGTATTCCTGTGCTTCACCGTTTAGTACTGACCTTCAAAACCTGTATTTAAACTACTGAATCATCAGTCGAGCACATGTGCCTGGCACTTGGCTTGACTGAGGCTGGAGACAGAAATGGTGAACCTGATGAGCACAGGTCCTGCTCCAGGAGGCTTGCAGGACGGAGAGGGGTGGGAAGTAGAGAGAGCAGGCTAACCAAGTGCGACCGCTGCTGCGATATCAGCTGAGAAATACTTGCTGATGTGGGGATCCCTAGGAAAGGTTTCCAGCCTGGATTTGAGGATCAGGAAAGACTTCCAGGTCATCACTGAAGGCGAATCCCAAAAGGTAGGACTGGATCAAGAGAGACTAGAGCTGTGTCCCAGAACCTCAGAACAAATGCTCGGAGGTGAGAAGCACCATGGAACACTGTAGAAACTTAAGGTGATTCTTTCGAATAAAGCTAGAACAGGAAGAGCTTTTTTCAAAAATAAATTTTGAACTATTTCAAATGTAGAGAATTATATAGCCAAACTTTTTATTTAACTTCATTAAATCTCAACATCTTGCTATATTTAAGTGAAATCAGCTTTTAAATTCTTATTTTAAATAATTTAAGACTTATGGGAAAACTGCAAATATAATACAAAGAATTTTCATATATTCTTTGCCCATATTACCCCAAAGTTTTCCTGGTCTCTTTCTCTCTCCTGTTGCAGAGTATGTTGCAGGCATGATGCTCCTTTACTTTAAAATACTTTAGTTCATACTTCTTCCTACATTTATTTATTTTGAAATTCAGAGAGAAAGAGAGGAAGAGACAGAGAGATCTTTCATCCACTGGTTCACTCCCCAGATGGCTGCAGTGGCCAGGGCTGAGCCAGGGCTAAGCCAGGCCAAAGCCAGAAGCCTCATCCAGATCTCTCAGGTGGGTGGCAAGGACCCAAACACTTGGGCCACCTTCCACTGCTTTTCCCAGGCCATTATCAGGGAGCTGGATTGAAAGTGGAGCAGTCAGGACACAAACCTTGCATATTTCTTAAAGTCAAGACCATTCAGCACCAAAATATAAGCACCAGTAAATTAGCACTGACATAGTTCTGTCATTTAATCTACATATCTTAATCTAATTTTTCCGGTTGTCACAATAATGTCTTTATAACAAAAGAAAAATATGTTCTGGTCTAAGATCCAATACAGGATCATGCATTGCATGTAATCATGTCTCTTTGGTGGCATCTCATCTCAAAGAGTTCATCACACTTTCTTTATATTTCATGACTTTACTTTTTTGAAGAGTACTGGCCAGTTATTTTGTAGAATGTCTCATTAGGGTTTGTATGTTTTCCTGACTACATTAAAATCATGTTGTTGGCAGGAATCCTACAGAAATGCTGTTGTATCCTTCTTGGTAAGTATTATCAGGAGGTACATGGTGTCTGTCCCATTTCTTCTACCCTTCATATAATTTATAAGAATCTGTGAGGTACTTTGAAACTATGTAAACGTTCTGTTTCTAAATACGATTAAGCTTTCACTATTGATGATTCCTCCTTGAAACAGTTACTGTTATGGTTTGCCAAGTTCAAATTTTTAAAACAAATGCACAGGAAGAGACGAGTCCTTCTGGTACCCTCTATTAATTACAGTTCTCTTCCTCTCTCCCTAGAGATAATCAACAGCCAGAATATAATATAGCATTTATTATTCTTGTGAATTATTTTACTGTATTTGTCTATAATTTTTTAAAGATTTATTTATTTATTTGAAAGGCAGAGTGATAGAGGGAAGATACACACACACATACACACACATATCTTTCATCCACTGGTTTTTCTCCTCAAGTGACTGCAACACCCAGATCTGGGCCAGATTGAAACCTAGAGCCAGAAACTCCACTCTGGTGTCCCATATGGGTTATAGGGGTCCAAGTACTTGAGCCATCATCCACTGCTTTCCTAGGCATATTAGCAGGAAACTGGATCAGAAGCAGAGCAGCCAGTACTCCAACCAGCACTATAATATGGGATGCTGGTGTTGCAAGCCACAGCTTAACCTGCTGCACCACAACACCAGCCCCTACAATTTTCTTGCTCATTCCAAATTAACATGCTAGTAACATGCTATATTTATTATCTAATTCACTCTTTCCCTAATATTACATTTTTCAGTTATATTGACATTGTGTATTTTAACTACTGTACAGCATTCTATTGTGTAAAAAATACCTATATATATATATTTGTTTTTCCTTTGCTTTTCTTCCCCTTGTCCCTCCCTCTTTCTGTTTTATTACAGAAAATAATGAACATTGCTGTACATATTTCCATGTGTTACATGTTTATCTAGGCCTATGATTTTTTTTAAAGATTTACTTATTTATTTGAAAGGCAGAGATACAGAGAAGAGCAGAGGGAGAGGGAGAGGGAGAGAGAGACAGATCTTCCATCTGCTGGATCACTCCCCAATGGCTGCAACAGCCAGGGCTGGGCCAGAACAAAGGAGGCAGAAGCTTCTTCCTGGTCTACCATGTGGGAGACCAAGTATTTGGGCAATCTTCTGTAGTTTTCCCAGATGCATTAGCAGGGAGCTGTATCAGAAATGGAAAAGCTGGAACTGGAATCAGTGCCCATATAGGATGCCAATACCACAGGCAGAGGCTTAACCTTCTATGCCACAGCACCATAGGCCTAGGATATTAACCTCAAAATGGAGTTTCTGGATCAAACTGTATGCACGTCACTTCAGTTACATTTACTGTATAAAATAAACCATCCCCAAATTTAATGTCTTAAAATAACTTGGTTTCATGTATACAGTAATCTTCAATTTGGGCTGACAGCAGCTGTTTCTGCTGTTATGCAGGTCTTGCTTGTGGTTCCTTGGGGAGCACTGGCTCAGGAGTGGGCTCAGCTAATGTGCTGAGACAGTTAAGTGACTCTCTGTAGTACCTTTTTTTTTTTTTTGACAGGCAGAGTGGACAGTGAGAGAGAGAGACAGAGAGAAAGGTCTTCCTTTTGCCGTTTGTTCACCCTCTAATGGCCGCCGCAGCCTGTGCGCTGCGGCCAGCGCATCATGCTGATCCGAAGCCAGGAGCCAGGTGCTTTTTCCTGGTCTCCCATGCAGGTGCAGGGCCCAAGCACTTGGGCCAACCTCCACTGCACTCCTGGGCCACAGCAGAGAGCTGGCCTGGAAGAGGGGCAACCAGGACAGAATCCGATGCCCTGATCAGGACTAGAACCCGGTGTGCCAGCACCGCAGGCGGAGGATTAGCCTATTGAGCCGCGGTCCAGCCTAAATTTGACTACTCTTAAGAACCTCAAACAAGAGGAATCACACAATGTTTGTTCTTTTGTGATTGGCTTATTTCACTTAGCACAATGTCTCCATGGCTCATACATGTTGTAGCTTGTGTCAAAACTTCCCTTGTAAGGCTTGACAACACTCCATTGTGTGAACAAAATAGCTTTTGTTTACCCATTCATCTGTCAATGGACACTTGGACGCTTCCACCTTTTGGCTATTGTGAATAATACTGCTATGAACATGGGTGTACAAATAAATATTTCTTTTTAAAAATTATTTTATTATTTATTCAAAAGGCAGAGTTACAGAGAGAGAGAGAATCTTCCATCCACTGGTTCACTTCCTAAATGGCTGCAATGGCTGGAGCTGGACTGATCCAAAGCCAGGAGCTGCTTCTGGGTCTGCCACATGGGTGCAGGGGCCCAAGCACTTGGGCCATCTTCTGCTGATCTCCAAGGCATATCAGCAGGGAACTAGATTGGAAGAGGAGCAGTCAAGACTTGAACAGGTACCCATATGGGATGCTGATGCTGCAGGTGGAAGCTTAACCTTCTATACCACAGTGCCAGCCTGAAATAAATATTTCTTCAAGTCCATGCTTTCCCTTTTTTGGGGTATATACAAAGATGTGGAACTGCTGGATCATATGATAATTCTGTTTAATTTATTGAGGAATCAACAAATCATTTTCCAAGCATCATTTTGCATTCACACCAGCAATGTTAAAGGTTTCCAATTTCTCCATATCCTTACCAATAGTTGTTATTTTGTTTTTAAAAAAACAATAGCCATCCAAATGAGTGTGAAGTGGTATCACAGTAAGGTTTTGATTTGCATTTACCTATTGACTAGTGATGTTGGGTATCTTTTCATGTGCTTATTGGTCATTTGTATATTATCTTTGGGGAAATGTCCATTCATGTCTCTCTCATTTTAAAATCCAATTGTTTGTTGTTATTGAGTTGTAGGAGTTCTCATATATCTTGGATATCAATTCTTATCTGATGTGTGCTTGGAAATATTTTCTCCATTTTGTTGGCTGCCTTTTAACTATGTTGAGACTGTCCTCTAATGCACAAAGGTTTTACATTTTTAAAAAATATTTTCTCTGTAGCTTTTTAAAAAAAGATTTATTTTATTTGAAAGACTAAGTTGCAGAGAGAGAGAGACAGACAGACAGACAGACAGAGATCTTCCATATGCTGGTTTACTCTTCAAAATTTTTATAAAATCCAACATTTTGTGTTGTTGACGGTGCTTTTGATGTCATGTCCAAGAAATCATTGGTGAATCCAAGCTATGCTTTCCTCCTATATTTTATTCTAGGAGTTGTATAGTTTTTGCTTTTATATTTGGGCCTGTGATCCATTTGAGCTCATTTTTTGTATAAGGAATAATTTCTGTTGTATATGGAGTAAGGTAAGGCTCCAACTTTTTGTGTGTGTGTGTGTGTGTGTGTGTATGGATATCCAGTTTTCTCAACATTTGCTGAAAAGCCTGTTTTTGCCCAGTTGAATGGTCTTGGAATCCTTGTGAAAAATAATTTGATTATATGTGAGAGTTTATTTCTGGGCTGTCGATCCCACTGGTTTCTGTTTGTATTTATGCCATTACCACACTATTTTGATTATTGTAGCTTTGTAGTAAGTTTCCAAATCACGAATTTTGATACCTCTGATGTTATTCTTCTTTTGTCAGTATTGTTTAGGATATTTGGGGTCCTCTGAGGTTCCATATGAATTTTAGGATGGAATCTTCTATTTCTGCAAAAAATCTCATTAGAATTTTGGTAGAGATGGCATTGGATCTATAGAATGTCTTTGGTAGTCCTGTAAGTTATTAATAGATATTCTATCAAGATAAGAAAATTTCCTTAGATCACTACATTGATTAACCATTTTTATTACATGGTGAATGTTCTCAAGAGCTCTATCATGACGATATTGAAATGAGCCTGTAGGGGCTGGTATTGTGGCATAGTGAGTAAGGGCACTGCCTGCAATACTGGCATCCCATGTGGGTGCTGGTTCATGTCCTGGCTGCTACACTTCCAATGCAGCTCCCTGCTAATGGCTTAGGAAAAGCAGAAGAAGATGGCCCAAGTATTTGTGCCCCTGCAGCCATACAGGAGACTTCAATGAAGTTTCAGCCTGGCCCAGCCCCGGCCATTGCGGCCATCTAGGGAACAAACTTGTGGTTTCTTATTGAAATCCTTGCATCCCTGAAATAAGACCTATTTATTCATAAGCTATAAATGTTTTCCTTTAAATATGTAGAGGGTAGTATCTGTGATATCTTAATTAAGATATTGAATCACCATTCATAGTAGGATTGCCATTTGTGGTTTCACTTCAGTCTGTTTGTCTTTTCATTCTTTCCCTGTGAAGTTTTTTCATGTTTGATTCATTCCTCTAAGAACACTGATGAAATTTTTCTTGGAAATAATTGATATCAACTCATCATGTTTTCTAGCACAGCCTCTAGTTTGTTTTGAAACCTTTCATGAATATTATTTTGATGCTTTTGAGTCTAATTAAAAAAAAAAAAAACTCCTTGAGGCCAGTGTCGTGGCATAGCAGGTTAGGTTGCCGTCTGCAATGTCGGTATCCCATACAGGCTCTCCTTCATGTCCTGCCTGCTCCACTTCTGATCCAGGTCCCTGCTGATGTGCTGGGAAAGCAGCAGAGGAAGAGCCGAGTGCTTGGGTGTCTGCACCCACATGGGAGACCTGGATGAAGCTCTGGCTTCCTCCTGATCCAGCCCTGACTATTTTGGCCATTTGGGGGGTGAATCCGCAGATGGAAGAGCTCCTCCCCTCCCACCCCGGTCTCTCCCTTTTTCCTGTAACTCTGCCTTTCAAATAAGTGCATAAGTCCTAGAAAAAAATACTTGGCTTTTAAAAACAAACAAAAGCACTCCTCCTCGCAGTTCTATAGAGATTCACATGCTCCTTCGCCTCTGACAATATCTGCCTTTACTCTTCTCACTTCCCACTCCTGATTTCTTGCTTCATATCAAGCTATTTTGTTTTTTTCCAAAGTTCTCTTTTCTCTCGCTTTTCCTTCTTTTTCATTTTCTCCAGGTTTTTGTCTGTGATCAGAATTTTGAACTTTCTTTTAGGATATTTGTGAAGATTTAAAAAAAAGATTTATTTATTTGAAAGGCAGAGTTAGAGAGAGAGAGAGAGAGAGAGAGAGAGAATATCTTCCATCCACTAGTCATCTCCTCTAATGGCCAAAGTCAGGAGCCAGGAACTTTTTGGGTCTCCTGTGTGGGTGGCAGGGACCCAAGAAGTTGTGTCTTCTGATTTTCCAAGGCATTTGGATGCCAGGGCCTCACTCTCAGTTCTTGCTTGTAAATCAAGACCAGAATCCCCATGGCTTTAGATTGGCTCATCACTTCCTAATCTGTTTAGATACACATGTTCACCTGTACATAACCTTGCTTCTGCTTTCCTCTTTTTGTTTTTTTATGCACAGTAATCAAAGCATAGACTTACTTCCCCTATAAAATACCTCTTCTTGTGAAGAGTTAACACATGATAAAGTGGAGTATATTCTTGGATTTTGTTAGTCCTTTTCATGCCAGGTATGTGTAAGTCAGGAGGCTTCAAAATTATTTCTCAAGTCACATAGGAAGTCTGTTGTTCATTTTGTTATCTCATTTCATATTCACACAGATGCAGTCTTCACTATGCACAAAATACCTCACAATAAAAGACTAAACCAAGGGCTAAGATACTCGACAATAATTTAAAATTGCAGATTTTATACCTTCCTATAATTTCATATTAGCAAGACAAAAAAATAATACTTCACACCTTCAATTCTTCAAAAGTCCCCAAATAAAATAGCACAGCACACCGACAGATAGCATATGCATTAAATAAAGAGGTAGTTGGGTAGGTACTTATGACTTCAGGCAACTTGAAACTACTAAATATTGACAATTTTTTTTCTATTCAATCCAGATAAGAGGATAGTAAACTCAGAGTAATGGAATAATTTGGCAAGAGCCAAGCCAAAAAAAAAAAAAAAAAAAGTATCAGAAGATCGGAAGCCAGACCTCCTGGTTTCTAATGCTGTCCTCTTTTCAAAACGAAGAGTACCTCACATATACTCTTCATCCCAACCACCTACATCATTACGTTCTTCTTTTCAATCTCACACATTTATAAACATGCCTAGATATAAACACGTAGATTCACTTGATCAAGACTTTCCAGCACTTGTCATAGAAATCTGTCCTAGACGTGGGGGATAAGACTGTGTAGTAGTCATGGGGAGAGTGAAGGCAAGTCAGTGAAATCATGAGTGATTTTTATCAAGACAGTTTAAAATTCACTACGAAAGTTTACCTGAGAAAGCGCTTCCTTCCTGTCCTCCAGGAGAGACTGCGGTGCTGACAGAAAATCCTTTTTCTCACAGCTCTCCTGGCTGATGCTGAGCAGCGTGTCCGCGTAGTTGGGCTGCGGGAAGATCACGTGGCTGCTCCGCGAGTCCGCCGTGAGGGACACCTCGTGGGAATAGGTCTGCAGGAAGGCGCGCACCCCGTCCACGCCCACAAAGTGCGAGGCCGGCACGCCCGCCAGCCCGCCACAGCCCGACGCCCGCAGCAGGCGAGAGCTGTGCCAGCGCCGCAGCCTGAGCGCCAGCAGCACGATGACGAAGGCCAGGAAGACGCAGGACACCGCGGCCACCGCCACCACCAGGTACAGCGTGAGGTCCGACTCGTCCGCACTGGCGGAAGGCTTGAGGCTGCCCAGGTCCGCCAGCACGTCGGGGATGCTGTCGGCCACGGCCACGGTGAGCGTGACGGTGGCCGAGAGCGGGGGCTGGCCGTGGTCCTGGACGGCCACCACGAGGCTCTGCTTGAGCGCGTCTCTGTCCAGCAGGCCGCGCGCCGTGCGCACCTCGCCCGTGTGCAGCCCCACGGCGAACAGCCCCGGCTCGCTGGCCTTGAGCAGGCGGTAGGACAGCCAGGCGTTCTGGCCCGAGTCTCTGTCCACTGCCACCACCTTGGTCACCAGGTATCCGGGCTCTGCTGCGCGGGGCGCCAGCTCCACCCCTGTGGAGCCGTCGGTGGGGAGGGTGGGGTACAGGATCTCAGGGGCGTTGTCATTCTGGTCCACCACGAACAGGGTCAGCGACACGTTGCTGCTGAGCGGTGGGTCCCCGCTGTCACTCGCAGTGACTCTCAGTTGTAAGTCCCTGAACTGCTCATAATCAAAGGAGCGCAGTGCATAGAGGACTCCAGTGTCAGAGTTGATGGAGATGTAGGAGGACAGGGGCGCCCCCTGGATGGTGTCCTCCACCAGGGAGTAAGTGACCTGTGCATTCTCATTGCTGTCAGCATCATGAGCCTTTACAGAGAAGATGGAGGCACCTTTGGGGTTATTTTCAGGAATATAGGCAGAATAGGAGTCCTGATGGAATTCTGGGGCATTGTCATTGATATCCGTCACTATCAGCAAAATGTGAGTTTCAGTAGACAGAGCAGGAGTTCCCTGGTCTGTTGCTGTTACTGTGATGTTGTACCCAGTGGTAAGTTCTCTGTCCAGAGTCCTTTCTGTCACCAATCGGTAATAGTTATCTACTAGCTTTTCCAATTTAAAGGGTAGGTTTCCAGGAATGGAGCATGTGGTGTGACCATTGTCTTCGGAGTCCTGGTCATGCACATTGATTAGAGCAATTACAGCCCCAGGCGGGAAGTTTTCTGGGACTGCAGGGGTGACAGAAGTGATGCTCACATCTGGGGCATTATCATTTACATCCAGAACTTTGACTAACACCTTAGCTCTGGCCATGAGCCCAGCACCATCCTGGGCTTGAATCTCCATTGGGTAAATTTTGTATTCTTCGAAATCCAGCGGCTCTTTATTTGATATTTCTCCTGTGTAGGAATGCAACTGGAATATCTGGGCCACTCTGTGATCTATGTTGTGAAAAGAGTATGTTACTTCCCCATTGGCTCCCTCATCTGGGTCGGTGGCATTGACCACAAGCAGCTGAGTGCCCAGTGGCACATCTTCCGGGACACTTATGTGGTATTCTGCCTGAGTAAACGCTGGAGGGTTGTCATTCGCATCCACCACCTGAACTCGAATGCGCAGAGTCCCTGAACGGACTGGGTTGCCCCCGTCAGAAGCGGTGAGGACCAGGTGGTGGACAGCTGCTGCCTCTCTGTCCAGGGGCGTTTGCAGTACCATCTCTGGGCGTTCGGGCCCATCAGGTCCCTGTTGCACATCCAGGGAGAAATGAGGGTTGGAGCTGAGCTGGTAGCTCTGGAGAGAGTTCACACCCACATCAAGGTCTTGCCCAAAAGGCAGAGGGATCCTGGTGCCTGGAGAGGTTATTTCATTCATTTTTAATTCCAGTTCTTCTAACTGGAATCGAGGGGTGTTGTCATTAATATCAATTATTTCCACTTCGACAGGGAAAAGCTTCATTTTCTCTTCCACAAGGATGTTAAAGCTCACCAGACAGCGTGCGCTCTGAGCACAGAGGTCCTCGCGGTCTATCCTGCCCGCCGTGACCAAGCCACCGCTGCGCGCGCTCAGAGCGAAAAGGGGCGCCCTACCTCGCGAGACGATGCGAACTCCGCGCTCCGCCAGCTCCCGCGGCTCCAGCCCCAGGTCCTTGCTGATGTCGCCCACGAAGGTACCTTTGTCTGTTTCTTCTGCCACCGAGTAGAGAATACTCCCGGCCACGGGGTCCAATCGCAGCTCCAGAAAAAGGCACAGCAGCGTCAGCCCGCTACACCCAGTCAGCTTTGCCAGAATCGCCATTGCTCTCTTGCTTCTTAGTTTTCTTCCAGTCCGGTACAAAAGGTAGTGTTTCTCTGCCTTTCTGAGCCCAAGTTAACCCAGTTTTCAGGGCAATTCCGAGCGGAGAACCGCCCAGAAACAGGATTTGGGCTGCTTCAGGGAGACATTGCTCAGCCAGCCCGGAGCAGATCTAGAATCTTAGGATGCGCAAGGGTCATGAAAATACTTCATATAGAAAACACTATCCCATTGCGTGTGTGTCACTGCCGGTATCGCCCAGATAGGTGAACAGCGGCGCCCAGAGTCCTAAGCAGTTACTGCACGCCTAAAAAATAGTTCCTTACCTGATCTTTCCGGAAGTTATTATTGTCAGAGAAACAGTTAATCCTTCTGCTATATATAATTTTCTTTATGGAAAAGAAAACTACTATGTGCATTTACTTAACCATGTCAAGAGGTTGCTAAATTGCAGTCCCCTAGAGAATCCTAGTATCCCCAAGCTATCTGGTTTTTCTTTATGCTCTTCAGGAAATTGGAGCAAAGAACTCGTTAATACTTCATGGAGGACAATTCTGTACCTGCTCTTTTTCTGTAGTACCTCGATTACTTGCTAATTACCAAGTTTTAGTAGAGGATAAAAAATTGGAAGAAAAAAAAAACCATTTAGAATGTAAGCTAGACTTTCCAAAAAATCGGACCATCCCATTTCCTTCCACTGTGCTTTATTTACCAGAAATTTTGTGATTCTGAAGAACATGTGTTTCTTTTTAAAGTAAGGAATGTAGTTTTTCCTCCAATCATTTGCAAACTAATAAGGAAAAGGATATACCAACATAATAGTTTGCTGTACAAGACTACCATCTTAAGAATTTGTACATGTATCATGTAGAACATTTTAATTCCTAATTTATACTTTCAAAGATATTTTATAATATACAAAGAATAGTGAGTTACAGGTGGTGTTTTGTATTATGGTTTATTATAAAACTTTATCATGTAGCAGGATCACCATTTGGAAAAATCAGCATTGATTCTATAATGGTCATCAGGATAAATTCTTAAGCCTGAAGAAAAAGTTGCCTTGGTGCCATGGCTCCAACGCCATGTGTAGTTTTTACTCCAAAGCCTTGTGTGGCTTCTAGTTCTGATTGTGTAGTCATTTTGAAGCCAAACAATTTAAGCAGATTGGCAGGGGACACTGGAGGACCTGTTGTACTCCTAACATCTCTAAGAGATGTTTGGGCACCTACCAGTTGTATCCTTCTAGCTGTGCCTCTTACTTACTTACAATGGGGCCTCTAGATCATTCCATGATGCTCAAACAGGGTTCCTCTGGTAAACAAGACCCTCTTCCCATCAGTTAGACTCTTCTGGAGGGTGAGGAAAAAGCAGCTGTTGGTAGTGAAAAATGGCTTCATTTCTTTAAACATTTTCCTTTTCTTTTTCTGGTTTTGAAGGCTCAGCAGATTATCTTTTTCTCTATCACAGCACTGTTTTTAGAACATCTTGATATTTCTTCATCAGACTGAGAAACATCTTGATGTTACCTGAAGAACAAGTTTTTAAGGTTTTCCTCTTTTCTGAAACGTCTCTGTATTATGTGGGTTTTAAAGTTGTTTTTTTTTTTTTTTTTTTTGACAGGCAGTGTGGACAGTGAGAGAGAGACAGAGAGAAAGGTCTTCCTTTGCCATTGGTTCACCCTCCAATGGCCACCACTGTTGGCGCGCTGCGGCCGGCATACCGCGCTGATCCGATGGCAGGAGCCAGGTACTTATCCTGGTCTCCCACGGGGTACAGGGCCAAAGCACTTGGGCCATCCTCCACTGCACTCCCTGGCCACAGGAGAGAGCTGGCCTGGAAGAGGGGCAACCGGGACAGAATCCGGCGCCCTGACCGGGACTAGAACCCGGTGTGTCGGCGCCGCAAGGTGGAGGATTAGCCTAGTGAGCCGCGGCACCGGCGGTTTTAAAGTTTTTAAAAGTCACTCAAATCTATTTTGAAATAACACTGGGATCTTGGAAATTCATCAGAAAAATATCATATGAATATATAATTTAAAGTTTAAATTTAAGCCCAAAGAGGTTATGCTATTAATTCTTCATAACTGAAAAGGAAAAAGCCACATTTTTTATTTTTAGTCTGTTGGGATGATATGTGTTCATACAATGACACTATCTTCTGAGAGAAGTTGGTTTCTTTTTTTATTTATTTATTTGACAGGTAGAATTATAGACAGTGAAAGAGAGAGACAGAGAGAAAGGTCTTCCTTCTGTTGGTTCACACACCCCCTCCCCCAATGGCCACCACTGCCGGTGCTATGCCCATCCAAAGGCAGGGGCCAGGTGCTTCTTCCTGGTCTCCCATGAGGGTGCAGGGGCCCAAGCACTTGGACCATCCTCCACTGCCTTCCCGGGCCACAACAGAGAGCTGGACTGGAAGAGGAGCAACCGGGACTAGAACCCAGTGCCCATATGGGATGCTGGCGCCACAGGCTGAGGATTAACCAAGTAAGCCACGGCGCTGGCTGAGAAGTTGGTTTCTTAAGCAGCAGTATTTTTTAACTAGGAAGATAAGGCCACAACCATCCTTCTTTTTCTCATTGCAATGTTTATTAATAAAAGGTTACAACTAAAATGCCCCAGGTTTAAGGTATTTATCTTTACCCCCAAATTAGAGAACTGTGCTATCTGCATTCCAGAGTCTGACATTTTCAGGAACAATTTAAGCCAGATTGTGGCAGTCAACCAACCTACGAAGATCATGACTGAGAAAGGTTCAGAAAATGAGGAAAAAATCAAAGCCCACAAGAATAGTTCTTGGACAGAAAATTGTTTTTGTATAACTAAATCTATAGTTTTTCAGCTTCTCAAGGACAAATACAAGTATATGCAATTCAAGGGTAGAATTTAAAGATGCAATTAACTTCCTTCACTATTGTCAGGAAGGGACTATTTAACAGGAAGCATAACCTTTCCAAAAATCTATTACTAGGCACAGCTTTTCCCCAAAGGAACTGTGACCTAAAGAGAGAGATAAAAATATACACAAAAACCACCCAAGAAAACTCCCCTGACAAAAAAGCCAGAGGATTTATAACAGGATGATATGTATAAAAATTAAAAATGTTAAAACTCACACGAATACATTTGAATCCAATGTTAACATTTAATGCTTCATTGCTGGCTTCCCAGAGAATATCCAGTTGAAACACTGTTAGCATCTGAAGCCAGGCTAACTGTAGGAACAGTTCAGATCCTCCTTCTTTAAGCTGGGAACCACTCCACATCCAGGCTTGGACCAGAGACCATGCTGAAAGCAGCTCCCAGCAATGAAGCTAGAGGAGTGTGCAGCAGGTACAACGTGACGGCCAGAGTCATTTCGAGGAAGATGAACACAGAGTTCAAGGCCAAGGTGATCATCTCGTAAAACCACAGAGCTTGGCTTGCCTTTTGGAATGTGCCAGGGTTGTCAGCAAGATCTGGCAGCAACCCTGATAACTGTTGGCAAAGACCAGGTGAAGCATGCGGACTTGCCATCTCACACAGCAACCACAAACCCTGGAGGGCTGCATATTTTATCACCTGTAGCAGCCCTGTGTACACGTAGCTCATGTGCATCTCTAGGCTGAAGAGCCAGGTTAGCTGCCTTGAAACACATGAAATGGCAGCTGGCAGTCACGCCCCAGTTGGCATCCACGTGCATGACCAGGTAGCTGGGTTGCACTGTGTGTGGTGCAATGTCAAGTAAGTAAGTCTTCGCCAGGTTGCAGCTCCCAACACGCGGTCTTTCTCGCATTCTTGTGGTGGTTGTGCCCAAGCCAGGCAGGCTCAGGGTGACACTGAGCCCATCAAGTTCTGGTCAGCGGCACAGTTGGCGCAAAGGCAGTCTCCCCAAACACAGGGCACTCTGTGCTGACCCACACACAGATGGCAGCGCCTGAGGAGCCAGGTCACTGGTCAGGGAGTAATCAGAGGCTTTCAGGGCTGAAAGCATTGAAGTGCAATAGAGGCGTGGGTGGGTGTCCTGATCGTCGGATCAAACAGGCGGTCTGATGGAAAACAGGAGCGGTTTTGTTGATTCAGCTGATATCGCAGTGGTGCCTGTGCTGGAGCAGAGGGACAGCCTGTCCTTGCGGGTGTCTCTGATGGTGACATATTTCAGGGTCTGCTCCCCGTTTAGCTTTCCAGCTCTCAGTAGCTGACAAGAGAATTACTTAGCAATTCTTGGAGGTGAAATCTTTGCCAGTGCGATTCTTCCTGTCCGCAATTATTTTCACCTACTTTTGCAGAGCAGGGCTTCCAGTTCTGTGGTTTTGTGGGGGCAACCACAATGCTTACAACCACAATGCTGCAAGTCACCTGTACCACAGTTCTCAATCTCCACTTCCACCAGGACTCTGAAATGGGTCCTAAGACAGCTTCCTCTCTTCTCTTCCATGGTAAAATCAAGGACTGCTATAGTCACTGGACAGCAGATAGATTCTGTATGCCTGTGAGACTTGTGCAAAGTGCAGAGAACCCTGCTCTACCTTAAGGAGGTCATGGGGGCCAATAAGGACCGCACTAAGAATGCAGAGGAGCTGCAGGAAGGGAGGCTGACTGCTGTACACATGAGGCGGGCTATCCAAGGACCGGCACTGGCATCCACGGCTGTGTCTTGCACTGAGCTGGTCGGCTCCCTTCCCACCACCAAGCTGCGGCCGCTCTGCTCCTCTGGTGCAGGGTTTCAACAGCTACTCAGGAGTATTTACTGCTCTAGTACTCTCCTTACATTCGGGAGGGGAGAGAGTTATATAAACTAACCTGATAAATTTGTAGTTATTGCCAGCGTCTAAATCTACTACGGATTTAAGAGTAAATGCTGCCCCTATTAAGACGTTTCCCAGAATTTCTGAAACAAAACGTGCCAAATGTCACCACGCTACTAAATATATCCAGGATGATTACATGTATACGAAAAACTTCTCGTATGATTTCGAGTGGTTTCAAATTCAAACGGCCTAGGGACTTCCCTTGGCAAACCTGCTACATTAATCCTGTCATTTTCAAGTTCGGGTGGGAGGCTTCTCACACTCACCCGCTGTTTCCGGCTTTCTGCGAGATTCTCCGCCTTTAGATCCCCAGCGTTCTCTTTCGGAATCTGGAAGCGCTTCTGCCACGTAGTTCTGCAGGCAGCACAACGGCAGCAAGGAGGGAACAGCGACTGCTCCGCTCCGCTCCCCCGAGGTGCAGGGCCTCTCTTCCCCCGGCCTCTCGGAACCCAGGGCGCCTCGCCACGCTTCCGGACGACGAGAGCCAGCTGGAGGAAGGTGCAGCGCCTCGCCTGGAGCCATTAATTTCTGCCCAAGATGAGATTGCGAGAGAGGACGTACCGAGTCTCCCGGTATGCGGGGTCCGCTGCGTCACAGTTGCCCAAGGATCGCTTCGCTTTCGCTCTGGCAACGGATTGGCCGACAGCGGCACCCAGAGGCCCACTGTGGTATCGACCGCATGTTACTTCGGAAGTCCGATTGCGCTTTACTTCCCGGGACTGTAGAATACCAGCTGCTTTAGCAAGAAGGGTGAAAATCATGGTTTCTTCTTGACGTTTTAATAAAAGGTCTTTCCACAAAACTTGAATCAAATGTTTTAATTTATTCAAGTTGATCCAAATTTAAGAATTCTTACAGAATTCTTCTCGAAATTTCCTTTTCAAGAAGATACACTATCAAAATTTTTTATTAAAAAAAAAGTGGGGTAAGGAGTTATCCATTGTAAAAAGAATTTTTAATTGTACAAAGGAATTCTCACTAAATCCAATAACGTAAAAAATAAATATCTTTGTACAGAGAAAATACTGGTAAAAATCTAAAAAATCATCAGTAATTACATTGTATGCTTACTGATTTAATTTAAATATGATGTCTCTCCACACTTTTCAATACATATATACTTCTGTATTTCCAAAACCAATCTGTTCTTTCATGGATGTTAATGGTTGCCCACCTGTTTTCCTTTCTTCTAATGCTTCTTTGTAGCTTAAGTGTGGGTAGTACTTAGGAATTATAGGCTTAAAAAGTTAAGTTTTGGGCTGGCGCTGAGGCTCAATAGGCTAATTCTCCGCCTGCGGTGCCGGCATCCCATATGGGCACCAGTTCTAGTCCCGGTTGCTCCTCTTCCAGTCCAGTTCTCTGCTGTGGTCCAGGAGTGCAGTGGAGGATGGCTCAAGTTCTTGGGCCCTGCAGCTGCATGGGAGACCCGGAGGAAGCACCTGGCTCCTGCCTTCAGATCAGCGTGGTGTGCCGGCCGCAGCGCGCCAGCAGTGGTGGCCATTGGAGGGTGAACCAATGGAAAAGGAAGACCTTTCTCTCTGTCTCTCTCTCTCACTGTCCACTCTGCCAAAAAAAAAAAAAAAAAAAAGTTAAGTTTCAGGTAGGTTTCTCAACCTTGGTATTATTTTGAATCTTTGTCATTGGGGGCTGTTCAGTGCCTTGCAGGATGTTTAGCAGTAACGTAACTCCGGTCTCTACCCAACAGATGCTAGTATATCCTACCCCTACAATTATGACAGACATGACATATGACATATGACAGCTCAGAATGTCCGGACGTTGCCAAATGTCACTCTCTCTCACCCACTTTGAAAACACAGGCTTATGTCATTTTCAAGGTATTACTGAGCAAGGGACAGGTACATAACCTAAGTCAGTTCAATCATATGGAAAGACAGACTTTAGTTGGGGAGAGCCACTTTTTTAACCTGATGTGGACAAGGAAGGAAGTTCTCTAGTTAGTGTAGGCAAGTATCTTGTGACTGTATAGCCTTTGGAAGTTCATAAGGAGAGAGGGCACACCTTAAAGAATAATGAAAAAGGATAAATGTTTGTTCTTCAAAACTGGGAAGAGAGAAATAATTTGTTCTAGGCCATGACTGTATCATATCTGGAGACAATTACACTTCCAGATTCACACTCTCTGGTGTAGTAATCACCAGCCGCATGTGGCCACCAGATCAAATTGAAATGTACTGTTAAGTGCAAAACAGCATTAGATTTTGAAGACACAACAAAAAAGATGAATGTAGGGGCAAGTATTTAACCTAGCACTCGAGACATCTGTTAAGATGCCCACTTCCCACATCAGAGTGCTGGCGTTGACTCCTGGCTCTGGCTTCTGACTTCAGCTTCCTCTAATTCAGACCCTCGGAGGCTGTGGTTGAGGTCCTGCCACCCCTGTGAAGACCTGGATTCACTTCCCAGCTCCCAGCTGCAAGAATCCTGGCCTTTGTGGGCATTTGGGGAATGAACCAGCGGATGGGTAGCACAGCACATTGTTTCTCTGACCCTCCAATAAGTAAAATTTTTAAAGAGAATGTAAAACGTATTGGTAAGAGTTTTTAAGCTGATTCCATGATACAATTATATTTTAGGGAAATTGGATTAAATAAAATTACTGAAATTAATTCCACTTGCTTCTTTCTGATATTCTAATGTGGCTACTAGAGATTTTAAAATCATACCTGTGACTCACATTGTATTCCCACTGGACACAGCTGCTCTAGACTACCTGGTTTTTGAGATAATAGTCTTCAAACCAGTGTAAGTTAGGTTTTGATTTTTTTTTTCAATAGAAAGCATTTTTTAGTACAGGACTTGTGACACATTTTTAGTTAACTTGCTTTTTACTTTAAAAATATATGATGACATAGCAGTGCATAAGCTTACTTTTTAAGAGTGTTTCCTATTTCCTCAGCTCTATAATTTTCTTCCTCTAAAATTTAATCAGAACTTCTCACATCACCCATATTTATTTTATCCTCCAAAATATAAGCAGTCTTTTTAAGTAATTTCATAGCTTATTAAAGGGATTTTTCAAACATACAGCATTAGCAGCAGTGACTGCAATACTCCTTAACCACAGGTAATGCTACCACACTGGAAAATTTTTTGCTGTCCCCAAATCTTTGGTTCACTCCTATTACAGATACTCTACAGAACATCCACAGGGGTAAAACTCTTTCACTAATTTAGAGTTTTTCTGTATGTCTAATGAATTTGAAAACAATCACAACTGGTGATATAGCAAAGATTTCAGTTGCAGAATCAGAATAACCCATATCCCCAAGTGAAAAAACCAATAACTGGAAAATGTGTTAAATTCCAAAGCAAACGATATGTTTCAAGATTGTAGTAGGCAGTACTTTGGGAAAACTGGTATCAATCCTTTCAGTTATCTCTGATAATCTTCCATTTAGAGGTCTGCTAATTAAAACAGTCTTCTGGCAAATCAGAATTGCATACAATTCATGTCAAATTACCTTCTGTACAAGTATATTTGAGCATCATGAAACACATGGAGAATTAAAATACAAAGTAATATTTGGATTATTTTCATATATGAGCATGGTCTTATATGGCTAAATAGAGCACTATGCAGAGAATAAATGCTTAAATTTATAAAATAAGTAAAAGCAGGTAAAATCAAAGGCCGACTAAAAATATCATCTTCAAAAAACAGGAAATAGATTATCCTGGAAATTATTGATGAATCAGCCAACATTCTTCAGCATATTATGGGACAGAAATAATGTGGTTACATGGAAGGACATACTTTCTCTTTAAAATGAACCAAAAAAGCAAACCTGTGCCAGCCCACTTTCATTTCCTCACGGTTTCACAGTTCGTTTGCACCACACTCACACCCTCTATTGGTAAAAACACTGTAACAACTGCTGCCATCCTTGACTAGAAAGGGAATGAATGTACTATAAAGTGACTCAAACTCCCTTTAAGTGACATAGAATTTATTTTCTCCAGCAAATTATTATATTTTTAAGACTATGTTATTTCTAGATGAGTCAACTGTTTCATTCAATTATCGAATTATTTTTGTGTGTCTCCTATATCCTGGTACTAGGCCCTGGGATATAATCTGGTGTAAGGGGGACAATCAACAAGTACACAAAGAAATAATGCAAATTCTAGAAATGTTAATCACTTTCTGGGAGTTCTCTTAAATTTAATTTGTTGTTAATATTTTAGGGGGCGTAAGTTAAATGACCTTGATGCTCTACCAAACGGATCCTACTAAAAAATAAATGGAAAAGAACAAAAATAAGTGGAAGCTGTTACAGCTGTGCCAAAGAACCACGAATATGCGGTGAAGAATCCCTGAGAATCCACATACGAGATAAGCAGAATACAGCAAAACAGTAGATGGAGTGGAAAAAAATTCCAAAGTAATTTAAAAATTACTGGTACGTTCCAGGCAGTAAAAATTCCTCATTTACACATTCTACTTTAGCCACAGCATCTGTCCACAGGTCCTAAGGACCTGTCTATTCTGTTTAAAGATTTATTTGAGAGGCCGAGCTACAGAGAAACCTGCTTACATTTCTATCTATGCCAACTACGCCAATGAGAAATCACCCCTGGCCCCCTGGAGAGCTCCCAAACAGAAATAAACCCAGAAGCACGGTCCCCCTCCGGGCACTTTCATAATTAAAATACACACAGAACCACACAGTGGACAGCATGCTCTCCTTACGCCATTGATTTGGGAACTTTTAAATCCACTTTGTGGTTAGTTACAAATTCCTGCACCGACACCAGAATGGGTAACTCCTGGGGAACACGCGAGACGTTTCCCGAAGCAAAACGCTTTCTGCAAACATGCCCTGACCCCCGAAGTCTAGACGCTATCTCGGCGCTTGCCGGTCCGGTACAAATGCTGTCTCAGCAGGGGAAGGCTCTGTGACCTTCCTGCAATCGTTATCTCTTATTTTCAAACTAGGTCGGCAGGAAACTTCATTTTCACGCCCTAAAACAATTCCCCTGGATCCAGAGACCAAGTCCCGGCCGGAATCGCAGCGCCGCGACTGCGTCTGCGCACGCTCGGGGCGGGCCGTCTTTCCGCCCGGCCGTGCTGTCACTCACGGCCGCTTCCCGCCCCGCGCCGTGACGCAGCGCGGCTTTAAAGCCAGCTCTGCAAGCGGCTGCAGGCAGATGCCTGCGGAGCCTCCGGTGTGTGGCTCTGCGCAGCGCGTCTCGGCGAAATTTCGCTCTTCCCGCCGGGACCGAAGCATTGGTAATCAGTAGCGGATCACTCAGCTGAGCAGCAGGAAGAACAAAGGAGTCGGCGAGAGAAGAGGCTCCCCGCCGCTTTGCAGCGAGTGGCTTCCTCCCCCCGCCGTCTGCGCCCGGCGCGAAGCTGAATTTATAATCGTCACTGGATTGTAAGTACCCGAGGCAAAGGCAGCTCGCTGCGCCCCGCTTTTTCAGTTATGCTTGTTTCGGGAGGGTTTGGGTCGGTGTTGACTGCTTGTCCTAAATTTGTGCCGTCTTCATTCTGCAGGAGCCGCCATTTGCTTTCCTGCTCGCTCGCTCGCTTGCTCTGTCTGCATTGTCTGGAGGCGGCACCTAGAGGCTGGAACTCGGCATTGCAGCTCCAGGCTTTAAATGGACTTAATTCTCTGAATAAACCAGTGTGTCGGTAACAAACAGCGGGTGTGGAGTGCAGCATATTTAGAGAAAAGATTTGTGGCTTGATTAAAAATTAAGACAAAACAGATGCTTAGCTACTGTTCTGCATAGAACCTTCTGTTGTTAAGAGATTTTAATTCATAAGGAACTGGTCTTTTAAATTGTTGCAGTAGCTGAAACTTTTCAGTGCAGCAAGTGTTTATTAGGAGAAGGGAGTCAGAAAGAAGTGAAGATGAGTAAGAGCAAAGATGATGCCCCTCATGAGCTGGAGAGCCAGTTTATCTTGCGCCTGCCTCCAGAATATGCTGCTACTGTGAGGAGGGCAGTGCAGTCGGGGCATGTCAACCTGAAAGACAGACTGACCATCGAGTTACACCCCGATGGGCGTCATGGAATTGTCAGAGTGGACCGGGTCCCTCTGGCCTCAAAACTGGTGGATCTGCCGTGTGTTATGGAAAGCTTGAAAACCATCGATAAAAAAACCTTTTACAAGACTGCTGATATCTGTCAGATGCTCGTGTCCACAGTTGATGGTGATCTTTATCCCCCTGTGGAGGAGCCAGTTGCTGCTGCTGACCCCAAAGCAAGCAAGAAAAAGGATAAGGACAAAGAGAAAAAGTTCGTCTGGAACCATGGAATTACTCTGCCTCTAAAGAATGTCAGAAAGAGAAGATTCCGGAAGACAGCAAAGAAAAAGTATATTGAGTCTCCAGACGTGGAGAAAGAAGTGAAGCGGTTGCTGAGTACAGATGCGGAAGCTGTCAGTACTCGCTGGGAGATAATTGCTGAAGATGAAACAAAAGAGACGGAGAATCAAGGCCTTGACATCTCTTCCCCAGGAATGTCTGGCCACAGGCAGGGCCAGGACTCCCTGGAGCACGATGAGCTTCGGGAGATATTCAATGACCTCAGCA